TGTTGTTGTAATTCTGAGGATCGAATTTTGTTGTAACATATTTAAACAGGTTTATGTGTATATTAAAATTTTTATGAACAAAGTCATGAGTTACATCCAAAGTTTTGAATTGTACATATAAAGCCAAAGTTTGAATGGTATATTTAAGGCCAAAGTTTGAATTTTATTTATAAGGCCAAAGTGCTGAAATAAAGGCCTTAATTATAAGCAGGTTGTTGGTAAAATATACAAAACAGGGTGAATATTTTATAAAAAATTTTTTTAAAATCTAGGACATTAGACAGCGCTTTTACATAAAAGCGCTGCTAAAGGTCACAAATATTACGCTACAAAAGCGCTGCTATTGGTTTGGAAGGGGGGGTCTAAGGCAGCGCTTGTAAAAAGCGCTGCTAAAGGGTGGGCTATGGCAGCGCTTTTGCAAAAGCGCTGCTAAAGGGGGGGTCTAAGACAGCGCTTTTTTAAAGCGCTGCTAAAGGGGGGGATGGTTGGGGGAATTATGCAGCGCTTACAAAAGCGCTGCTAAAGGTGCTGCTGAAGGGAGCTTTTAGCAGCGCTTTTTCATTGAAAAAAAGCGCTGCATGTACCTTTAGCAGCGCCACTTTTTGCAGCGCTTTAAAGCGCTGCTAAAGGCCAAAAAAAGCGCTGCTAAAGGTCTTTTTTGGCATAGTGATGCAATCAACAACCATATGCACTTAAGACCATTCTCGCATCTTAATCCCATGCATTCTCAAATAATTCATCACACAAGAATTATAACATGATTGCACACACAACACATTTCATAATAATCAAAGTATTCATACTTTCAACACCATCACTACATTTATCAAGCAATGCACAAGAATACACATCTTGGTGCTTCACATACAATCGCATACAATCAATATGCATTCACAATATCGCGCAAAATGGCAACGAACTTCATCATAATCATCATGCACCTTTAATCAATTTAAACAATGCATATATTTGCCAAAGGCCACATTTCACAATTGATTCCACAATCTAGGATTCACGCCATACGGTTATCCACAGTATATCATAATACAACACACAAGTTATGCGTTGAAGAATTAAAGCATCAACATTGGATGGAAACAACAAAAATAAAACATGTTGTCACGCTCGCCACCTTGCTCGCCTAGCGAGGCTCTAGTGAACCATCGCTACTTGCTTCGCCTAGCAGACACGCTAGCGAAGGCTGATTTCTAGCTACTGGAAGTGTTCGCTACACAGCTCGCTTAGCGAAGGCTTAGCGAACCCTCGCTACCTCACTCGCCTCCAGCGAAATTGGATCTTTTGGTTCTGCCCCAGGTCTGGGACCATTCGCTACTGGCTCGTTAGCAGCTCGCCTAGCGAACCACTCGCTAGGTGCTCGCCTAGCGAGACCTGTGATACTTCAAAACCCCAACTGTCCAAAAATCATCAGAAGCTCACAAATCACCCGATTTTCACCAAAACAGTTCCTGTAGTCTTAGCCTAACATTCCTCGACTAAACTACACCATTTATTCCAGATTTTAACCGATAAAACATCAATTTCTACCGATTAAACCATTTCTGACCTAGAATGGAAAATGTAGAAAAATACCCAAACAATCCAAACAAGACATACATTATTACATACATTGATAAGATAATAAGATTTCACACCCTTACCCGATTAAATCGATTCCTAAGGGTTGATCTTGAAGAATCCAAGCTTTCCTCTATTTTCCTTCTCTTTTCTCTTCTTCCTCTTTCTTTCTCTACTATTTCCTTTCTATCTCTTTTCTTTCCACTTTCTCTTATATAACTTTCTATTCTATCATTTCCATTATATTTTCTTCTCTCAAAAATATCTACCAATTTATTTCTCACAAACTATCCAACTTAATATTAAATAAGAAATGTCTAAAATACCCTTCAATCTATTTTCCCCAAAAACTCTCAAAATCGGTAAACTAGCATAATATGCAAACATAACATATTAACACATCAATGCCACAATTAAAATAATAGTCACCCAATTAAATCAAAAAGACTCAACAAAAATGGGAATAATCAAAATCGGGGCGTTACAGATGGAGATGATGAATTCACGTGTTCAGCTTTTCTTGCTAATTTATTAGTTTGGTTTTGCTAATATGTTAATTCAAATGTATAGATGTGTATTTATGTTTGTGTGTTAGTGTTGATGTTGATGTTATGTTATGGTGTTGATGCTATAGTATGCCCATGTTGTGCCGCAAGCTCATGTATCCTTTAGTTTCTAATGCCTTTGTTACTTGATTTGTGCAGGGTCTACAAGGTGATGGTGATGGTATGTGGAATTATGAGTTAATGATGTGAAGTCAGGATTATGAGGGTGAAAAGGAAAATGCGTGGGGATCAAAAACAAATATACTTCCTTACTCTTTTTGTTTTTCTTTATTACTACCTATGTTTTATAATAAATTTCTTATTTGACCTGTGCGTGGTATTTAAGAAAATGATTAGATGTGTTGATTTTAATGATAAAATTGATATCTTTTACTAAAATACCCTTATTTATTATAGTTAGTGGAGTAGTTGAAAAACGTGAAAGTTAATGAATAGGGGTATAGTAGTGGAAAAAATGATAAATGTTGTATTGGTATTCTAAAAAGACATTTATTTTGAGACATTAAAAAGTGTAAATGAGACATTTATTTTTAAAAACAATGTAATAAAAACCTTCCTTGTATTCTTTCTTTTTATAGTGTAATTAACACATTTGTAGTGTAAATAAAAAGCTTTTTTAATGATTTTTTTACTCTAAAAATGTGAATGTAGAAAGACTTAATTTAAAATTAGTGAAATGGACTATGGACTTAAAACTTAAATGCAAAGCAGCTCAAATGAAAGACCTCTTCTATTAGTTCTTTTGAATTGAAGAAAGTCAAAGATAAACTTAAAACAAGACCTTAACATTCATACCCTAATAACTTGTGAAGTTGTTAAGTCCTAAACCCTGAACACACATGACTAAAGAGAGAAACTTAAAACAAGACCTTAACATTCATAGCCTAATAACTTGTGAAATTATTAAGTCCTGAACCCTAAGAACACATGACCAAAGAGAGATGCAACACACATGCATGAAATGATGAATGCATCAATTAAAAATGAAACATGACAAAGCTTAAGCAAAGTTAAAATGCAAGAGTAAGGTAAATGCCCTAAAGAACCAAAAGCATTGAAGCACAAAGCCACATACCAGATGAATGCACATGGCTATAGGACAAATGATTTATTATGAATGCATGTGTGAATGAACTAACATGCTAAAGATTAAAAATAATGGTGAGACTAAAATATGGTATGACATAGGGGTAAAATGACAAATTTTCAAGATGTCCTTTGTTACCTTACTTGTCTCAGCGAGGTAAAATCCACTTTACGCTTTAGATAAGATGTGTTTTTTGTAATTGTAAGGCTAACCACGCACTACTCCACCTTAGACAATCCAACATATGTAAAATTACCCATTTGACCGGTTGGTTTCAATGTTGTGAGCTAATAGTCAAGTGACCACAATCAAGGACGAAGCTACAACAACCAGACAGTGGGCCACTGCCCCACTAAGATTTCATTCATTAGTGAAAATTTATGTACTTATTATATAACAAAGATTGAGATGGGAGACAATAGAGAGTACATAGTAAAAAAGAGAGACATCCTCATGTTTATTTAACATAGATATAAATTTAAATATTTAATAATATTAGAAATAATAATATTATAAATAAAATAAATATAAATTTTAAACAATTAGATTGATACTAGAGAATTTAATATGGAGGGATTAATTAAAAAAATATTAATATGGAAGGATTAATTACATTTTTAAATATTTAAAGTATATATATCGATTATCATACAATATTTTATCTTATTTAAAGATTTATTTAATAATATATAATTTTTATTTAAGGTTTTTAAGGTTTATATTTAATTAATTCTCAATAATTTAAATTTTTCCTACGTTCAATTTTAAAATTTTATATTTTTTTATAGAAAAGATTTATATATATTATATTTTTAACATTTTAAATTTATAATAATTATTGTCCAGAGTATGTCTCTGACCACAATATCGGTTCTCAACAATTTCTCATGGTTTCATTTTTTTGGAAATGGCTCATGGGACACCACATAGTGAATAAGACGATAAGACACACACATATGCCTCCCTAGGAGAAGAAGTCTATGACCTACCGCTAGATCAACATGAAGGGATTAAGTAGGAGAGTGCATATTGAAGTTACCAATAGCAGATAGAGCATCAAAAGAGTAATTTCAAGGAGTTAAGTCTAAGATTCTTCCACTCCAATTAGCTGATATAGCATCAAGAGAGTAATTTGAAGGAGTTGAGTCTAAGATTCTTCAACTCCAATTAGCTTTAATACACGCATCAAGAATTTCTTAAATTAACACCACCATCCAAGACTCTCTTAATGAATTTTTTGGGTCCATTTTTTAAGAGTCTCTTTGAATTTATACTTGCGTTCATTAATTCTTTACCAACATAAGCACAATCATATATTGAACACGAACACTGACATTAACACAACAACATTTCTAAATTTGAGAAGATAGAACAATTAAATATAATCGCATGTTATCAATTTTGCAATGATATCAATATCAGACACCAGACACGCTATCAATCTTAATAGCCCGTAAACATTGACATTAAAAGAAAGGAAAGTGAAAGAAAGAGAGAAAGAAATGATAGACAATGACATGAAATTAAACACCTTTCCTTGAAGACTAGTAAAAAAAGTGGCACACAATTGCATAGAAATTTTTACAATAAACACTGCCATCACTTTTTTTTTTTCTTTCTTTCTTCTCCCAACTGACTCCTAACCTAATCACAATCCTATGAGTCATCTTGAGATCTATGCATATTACACAGTATAACTATTTCAAATCAAAACAAAATTGAGCATAGAAAAGAAACCATCTTTCCATATAGATCAAACATCCATCAATCTTTTATCTCTGATCTTCAAATCCATTTCTCTCCCTTCCAACAATCTCTGAAAACCCTGCATGCACAAGTTTTTCTGTTGTTAATTACAATATATAACACTTCTACAGACACACGCGTCAGTGTCTGCAAAGGATCTAATATTGATTTAGAGAAAGAAAATGAACTACCTTGGGACCTACAAACGGGTGGATCTTCAAAGAGAGAAAGAGAAAGCTGCTTATAAGCAATTCCAATATCAATAAGAATGAGCCCTGAAGAAGGATCATCCACAATTATATCTTTCACCGGCAACCAAAGAAAAAGCTCTTCTTGCGAAAGTCCTTCCAAATCTTTAAGCTGACCAAAACTAAGGTTAGCACGAACAACCGTTTCGAAAATCACCCTATTCTCATACTTCACAATACAAGGAGTATCCAACTTCACTTCCAAAACACCCTTTTGATCCAAATTATACGATTTCACACTCTCCGGAAATAGTCCCGCCGGTAAACCATGGCTCCGGAGAACCTCTTGAATTGAAGAAGAATAGCCACTTATTAACTGAAAAACAAGAACAAGAACAACAACAACAACAAAGATTCTGATTCTGAATGCCATAAGAAGCTAATGAAATATTAGCTTTTGAATATGAACAGACACAGACAGAGAATAAGGTTTTGACAAGGTTTTTAAGGTAACATGATATAGTACTATTTTTTGAACACCATGATTGGAAAATTTAGAAGTGGGAAGCAGAGAAGACAATTGAAATAATTTCTATGTTGTTGGTTGGTTTTACATGGATTATACTAGATTAGATGCTACGTGTGAAATTACTTAATTACCCTTGCGTTACAATCTATGATTGTGTAATGTGACAATGAAGTGTGACAAATTAGAGACAGATACAAAGGTGGAAAAGGAATAAAGTTAACGTTACATTATAGAAATCAATTATTATTTATTATTATTTTATATGGTAAGAAAATTTCTAGTTGGTTTGTTTGTTTGGTGGTGACTTGTGAATGGTGATAGTGATGATTTGAATAATTGATGTATTAAAACTATATAATAAAAATAATTAATGATTCATGTTGAAAACAACGTTGCCTTTACGATTTCTGATGTTTTTTTATTTATAGTTAGTATGTGATATCTTTGTACGATAGTGTTGAATGGAAGATTAAATTTTGAATATGGTGCTTTAGCCTTAATTTGCGCTTGAAATGGGACCAATCATATCTTTTTTTTCTTTGTTCTCTTCGTCTTCATCTTTTGGAGTGTACTAAGTATCATTAAAATCATGCTTTGTCGAATGTTGTAGTGGGTGATTATTTTGATCTTCTTTGAATGAATAAATTAAATTAGTAATTAATTTAGGTGAGAAGAAGAATAAGAGTTGGTTGATGATGTGGATCCACATGCGTATAGGAATGTCGCCAACGGCATTAATAAATAGATTTTAGATGCCAATTAGGCAAAATGATCAAGTTGTGGAGTAAATTATTAGCTAGTGATATTAAATTAGTTAAATATATGTTAAGTTTAAAATAGTGGATGCGAAAATTTTAATAGAATATATGTTTGTTTTACATTGAGAGATTTTAAAATTAATTTAAAATTTGAGCATTTTTCTGTCCACTTCTCTCATAAACTCGAAACACACAATCTTTATGTAAAATATTTCTCTTTTCCCCTAAAAAAATCATAACCAATTAGGACCTTAATTAATTTTCTTAGGATATCTCAATAAAATAAAAGCATAGCTCTTACGTAATGATTAAATGTTTTGAAATGAACATAACATAATGAAATGCAGCAAAGTTAAAAGATGCCAAATAAAATAAAAATTAGTTGAGTATGACTAATAGATGCAAAAGAGGAACATATGACATGCGAGTTGAGCAAATGTAGTGAATGAAACAACCTATATAAAACTCTAATCTCTGACTCAATATTTAATAAGATAGTTTAAATAAAGTTTCACAATTAGAGTGTCACGCATGCTTCACAATAGAATAGAAACATCAAGATGACATAGTCATTTAAAAAAGAAGCAGCGAAAAATCATTAAATTCAACATATAAGTCTCAACATCAACAGAATAACAAAACTCCAACATAAGTAAGGCATAAAGAAAATAAAGAATAAATAGTTCATCCCTAGCTAAAGAAAATAAAGAATAAATAGTTCATCCCTAGCTAGTGCTACATATCAGAGCAACTCCTCTAAACACCCAATGATAAACGCTAAAAAGGCATTGACATCGTCCTCTAACTCAAACAACTACTCTTGTACCTGATTGTGTGAACTCTAAAGGAGCACAAACGGCACAACAACAAAAAAGAGTGAGAATACACCTTATAAATATTAATGGTGAAAATTAACAGCATGATGGTAAATGAGACAGCAACAAATATAATATTCTCACCAAAACACAATCACAATCCAATTTATAATGCAAATGCTAATGAACAAACGCCTTCATCAATATACATGTGGTACCGTATCTTTGGGATATGAGATTTGTTATTGATTTCCTATGTCTCTGTTTCCTCTCTAAATCGTGTCCCTCTCTAGGCAAGAGACTGCCATGGTTCATCTTTGAACCTAACTTCACTGGACCAAAGTTCTACCTAACTTTAAAATATATGCATGCATGATCATGTATAGTAAAAAGACATGTAACTCAAGCAATCATCAAAATCATCTCAAAAATCACCATAAAAATCTAAAGTTCTCAAAAACCTCAAAAACAACTCGACGACAATTTTTAACTCTCAAAATGACTCACTACTGCAAAACGCGTAAACAACAACGCCAAAGTAACAACGATTTCCTATTCACCTTGGCAATTTGTGATATTTAGGAGCGTGCACTTTCTTTATTTTATTAAAATACTTTTAATCACGGTTAAAATTTTAACCGTGGTGAAAATGGTGAAAAGTGAGGCCTTTCACCATGGTTATTTAAAAAACCGTGATTATAAGTAGCGTCTGGTCACCAACATTTTTGGTTTTTTTACTTATTTTTTCAAAATGCTGACAAACCTTTCACCAAGGGTATTTAAAAAACCGTGATTATAGGTAGCGTTTTTTACTTATTTTTTCAAAATGGTGACAGACCTTTCACCATGGGTATTTAAAAAACCGTGATTATAGGTAGCGTTTGGTCATGGGTTCAAGTCCCAACACCAACATTTTTGGTTTAGTTTCTTACTTATATTTTCAAGTCCCAGCACCAACGTTATAGGTGGTGTGCTTATTAAGTTTATTCATTATCCTTAAACAAACCTTAGTCGTCCATTTAGTGATTTTCAACGGTCAAGACACTACTATTAGTGATCCGTGTGAAACCTAAAACTTAGATGAAATACATCTTCTACTTCCAAACATCATCTTTCTTTCATTTACAGTACTATATTTCTCCACTAAACCAAACTCGAAAACAATATTTCTTTCATAAACAAAACTCAAAAATATCATTTCTTTCATTAACAAATTTCAGAATTCCATCATCTCTTTTACAACTTGAATGAGACATGGAAAGCATGGATTCGAGTTAGCAATGTTAGTTGTTAGTGCTCTTTTTTATTATTGTTGTTCTTGTTGTTATTATTGTTGTTCTTGTTGTTGTTTCTGTTGTTGTTGTTGTTCTTCTTCTTCTTCTTCTTCTTCTTCTTCTTCTTGTTATTGTTGTTGTTCTTGTTCTTGTTTTTGTTGTTTTTTGTTGTTGTTCTTATTGTTGTTCTTGATGTTGTTGTTGTTCTTGTTCTAATGCTGCAATTTCTTTTAGTTTTATTAAAAGACATACAACAACGGGTATTTAAAATAATTGTGATTATAGGTAGTTCTAATGCTGCATTTTTTTTAATTTTATTAAAAGACATACAACAACGGGTATTTGAAATAACCATGATTATAGGTAGTGCACTTTCCAGTTTTTTACCACATGTACTGGACTGTGGTTGTAAATAACCCGTATACAACCACACACTACTTAACAACGTCATGTCCCGCGTGATTATATATCTTTCCCAACCGTTGTTGTATGCATTTTCCGTAGTAGTTACTCTAGAGTACTCAGAAGTAATCTAAAGTGTTCAAAAATTCTCTATTGACAACTTTTCACATGTGATAACTCTATTAATCCTAAGAGAATGCAGTTTAACTCAAATTATTCAAAATTAACCCAAAGAACACAAAAAGGTCACTGATGTCAAAAATTGCTCAAAAATAACCAAAAAAACTCCCCGAACTCAAAAACTGCTAAAAGTGCCCCGACCCTCCTGGACCAACAATCGGGCCCAAACCACCGTCGTCGCCGCTATAACACTCTACTTCCCAAATCGAAAAATTATTAAATAAAACATGTATAACGCATAAATTTTTCATGTAGGATGATAATCAAACATCAACAAAACCTATAAGAACCACATAATTGAAAATTGAATAATTTAATAAGTAGCAAAATTATAAAATACTTCGCATTAAAAAGCCTCGACAACATTATTAGTTTTGAAAAATGGTTCAACATCAAAATAAATGAGAAGATATGCAACATAGCCAGAATAAAAGAACACCTTGTTTCTCTCGTGTTAGATATCAGAGTGATTCCAACTATATGACTCAATCAACAAGCAACTAAGGAGGCACAATACCATCCTCAACATTAAGCTCCTACTTAGGTACTTGATTATTTGTACTCCAAAGGAGCACAAACACAACAACACAAAAAAAAGAGTGAGAATACATTCAAATAATAATTCCCTGCTTGATTAAAAACTTTTGGCAGGAGCTTATAATCACCAATACGCGCCCATCCAATCATAATTCCCTAATTTAGATGATCATGGCTCGATAAATGAAGGTTTAAAAAGGTAGGACAAATTCGGGGTATGACAGATGTCCCTATCTAATTGTCTTGAACCCGATAGAATGAACTGTTTCATGGTGTTCATTTTTAGGGTAGAAGGTGATTAGATACAAGAAGACCCCAAAATTTGTCTGACAAGAATACAACGCAATGAGAGGTACCATAATAGAGTAGTAGGATGCACACTGAACAGGATGACCTGTGGTTCTTTGGATGGTCGAAGAAGTACCTTATCCAATAAGGTTCTTCAATGATACCAAAGTAATATCTCTGAAGGCATGAGATTCTTTGGGTTGTCAAAGCAATACCTTATCCACTATGGTTCTTTGTGATACCGAAGCAGTATCTCTAACACATGAGATTCTTCGGGTGGTCGAAGCAGTCCCTTAGTAAACAAGGTTTTTCAATGATATCAAAGCAGTATATCAAGCAATAAATCTGCTGGAGGAAATAGTTTAGCTAGATTCCTGTCAGAGGAAATGTGTTAGCCAAATTCTGCAGAGGGAAAGCTCATAATAAACTTTTTAGGATAAGATTTGCTTGGGGAGCAACAAGAGCAACAGCTGCTGGGGATTATCATAATCAACTGCATGGTTGAAGAATGATTTGTTGGGGAATAGAATTCCATGAGCACTTGCGGGGTATCAACTCTCTTCAAAACAAATACTGCCGGCTTCGAAGGAAGGCTGGCTAAGATGCTTACGAACTAATCCTGGATCCTATTATGCTATTTTGCTAGGGAT